CTCTTCTCTCTCTCTCTCTCTCTCTCTCTCTCTCTCTCTCTTGAAGCGCGGGACTGGGTTACGTGTCCCAAACACGTACATGTGTACGCGATTACACGCCGTGCGATAGGCATCGACGGCTTTCGGCGGCACCGGAAACCGAGAGAGCACGCCCGTCTCTCTGTTCGCCCAGTTGCGCGAAAAAGGGGTCACGAAAATGTTTTACGAGCCCGTTTAAGGTGCCTTCCTCTCGGAGGGGTCGGCGTCAATGGGACCGTGACGTCGTGCCGGAATCACGCACGACGGTCGTGACATTGTGAGAACGATCCGATACCGGGAGAGAAAACCGGAATACATTTCGGGCAAAACGCGCTCGGTTTACCGCACATGGGACATCCGGTGTGTGCAAAGCGAAAGAGTTATGCCAATCGCAGAGAAAGTATTGTCTGCGGAAACCACCATCCCTCCCCCCCTCCCCTCTCTGTCTCACCGCGAATTCTAAAGTCAGAAGTTGACCGGCGAGTTGACGCGAAATATTCAAGGCTGATTTAAAAATAACAGAGACCGGCGATTATCCCCTTTGGCTAGAAAACCGAAAGGCTTTCTCGATAAACGTTACGCAACTAAGTGCACGAGCGAGACTTTGTTGAAATTTATTGGCGTAAAACTGTGAAACGAGAAAGGCAGAGGGAAAGAACAACACCGGGCGCCACGTATAATTAGAAAGAAAATACAATCGTTGAAAAAACATTACTTTTTCAATACACGAGAGTACGTTGGATGGATGAATGAATGGGTAAGAAATAATTGTAAACCGAGTCCTTCCTCGGCTTGCAAAAGCTGAAATAAGGATTCGTATACTGTTCAATAATCATCTCTACTCGAAAGAACGATCATTTTAAGCAAAGCGCACACGCGATACTATTTTTCCTACTGGATTGCGCTTACGAGAGCCAATCAGGATTTAGCTTTTAGTCACGTGATCTAAAACTGCATCCTTATTGATTCTCGTAAGCAATCCAGTAGAAAAAAAAAATAGTATCGTGTGCCGTTGGCTTTAGACTGAGAGAGATTCATTTTGTAGAATGAAACGAAATTTAGTTGGCTCCGCAAAATTTAGTTGGAAAATTTGGTTATATCGTAACACAAATTTGGTTGAGTGAACATACGCAGAATTCTTTTATAATATTCAACCGAACGATTTATTTCACGCAACAAACACAATTATTTAGGACGTGATGAGACGGACGAATTTGTTATCTCAACCATAAACTTTTGTTCAGATAAACAACTCGTGGAAACAAAGTAGTTGTAACATTTAACTTCTTTTCAACATATTTTTCGTTTTATACAACCAAATTACATGTTCAGTCAACAAAATGATTCAATCAAATTATTTCGTTTCATTCAACAAAATTAATCCCTCAGTGTACACACACGCACACACGCGCGCACGCAGTTTGCAACAAAAGTTGTTACACACACGCGCGAGATGAAGTCTCTCGAATTGGCGCGACGTGCTGAAAAGAGTCGTACAGGAGTGTCCGTGAGGACGCAGGAAATTGTACGTTTTCGAATTTGAATTGGAGAAGTCGGGTGTATTAATAAGAGTGACCTCGGGGCGCAGACTCCCCTTGACCCCCTTGAAAAATGACCCTGAGCCCCGGCCGCCCCACGGCGCACGGGAGAGCCCGCGCGTTTTATATACCCTCTAATGGCTCGCCGCTACTTCCATTTCTTTCATTCGCGTGCATTACACTTTTCCCGCTGTTTGCCGTTATTATTACTAAAGACCTTCCGCCGGCCCTGCGCTAATGCACGGGTTACCGATATGTTGCGGGTCTCGCGATACGTGGACGCCGTCTGCTCCTCTTTTTTCCCTGGAACTCCCGCCCACGCGACCCTCTTAGGTTTCGCCCTCGTTCGGTCTTATTTATTATCCTTCTTAAAGGAACTTGAAATTAATAAGGTCCCCACCGTGCGTGCGCGCGTTTTGAAAACCAAGTTGAAGCGCTTTAACTTGTAAATTCGTACTTCGCCGAGCGAGGGATATTCCCGGGGTGTAATTGGACGGCTACGTTTACGCGTATCACCGTCCGCGAAGTTCGGAGCAATTTCTGTCGTGGATAAGTAAAATTGAGAACGTGCTATGTAATACAGGTATAGTTACGGCTGCCTTATTGCCGGCTGCCTTATTGAGCGCGCGAAACTTGTCTGAATGTGTGGAGAACCGCGTGAATATAAGTCGGCCGCAATCGCACGTGGATAATCCAGTGACTAAGGGTCGCGCGTTCATTTAGTGCTTAAATACGAAAGAGCGAGAGAGAGAGGGAGAGAGGGGCAGAAGCGATTTTCATCCCGCGATTACTTCACAACGCGATCTTCATATTCGCCAACGAATAAAGCCGAGCTGCAATTTGAGCTACGCACCGTGGTGTAATTTTCATTACAAATACCTCCGAGAAATGTATAAGTGGAGAGACATAGAAGCTGAGTAAAATTTCTATTAGAGACAGAGCAAAAAATCCAAGTCTAATAGTCTCTAGTTCGAAATTTTTTAAAATTATGAAACAGGCAACACGTACAGGGATATCCTGATGCGCAATGAACCATCGTTTCTTTTTCACCGCCCGAATTCATCCCCTTATCGTCGACGTTTCGTAGTCTTTCGCATCT